AGGCAGGAGACTCACTTGAGCCCAGGAGTTGGAGGTTGCTGTGAGCTGTGATGCCACAGCACTCTACCCAGGGGGATAGCTTGAGGCTCTGTCTAAAAAATAATAATAATAATAATAAGATAGTTGAGCTCAAAAGCTCAGGATGCGAAGTCAAGAAACCCATGGAAATGCTGAAATCCTGGGGTCCCTATGATTGGAGTTTTAACACCCACGTGGAGTTAGAGGTCAAGGCTGAGGCCCCAGGAACTGAAGGGAACAGAAACTGAGCTCCCTGAAGTAAGCTGGGAACTGAAAAAGGGGTGTCTAGGGCTGAGCACAGGAGTGTGCTGCTGTAAATCCAGCTACTTGGGAGCCTGAGGCAGGAGGATTACCTGAGCCCAGAAGTTTGAAACCTTGTCTCAAATTTGTTTTAAAAGGATATCTCTTCTGGGAACAGAAGATGGAGAAGAAAAAAACAATTCAAAGGCCCTGGCATGCAAAAGGGAAGCAAGCCTCCCAAAAGGCAGTGGACGGAAAAAGCCATCATGGCCAATCAGAATCCCAGGGCTTGGACAGCGCCTGTGGCTCAAAAGAGTAGGGTGCTGACCCCATATGCTGGAGGTGGTGGGTTCAAGCCCAGCCCCAGCCAAAAACTGAAAAAAAAAAAAAAAAAAAAAAAAAAGAATCCCAAGGCTTACCAATAATTGGCCTGGACTCAGATTAAACCTCTTAGTGCAGGAACCTGCTCTGAGAAACTCATGGATAAAATAGCCAGAAAACTGTAAAGCCTGTAAGACTGTAGGCAGATGCCAAAGCAATCTGGCCCCAGGGGTATCAATGGGGCCCAGGGAACTCACAGCCTCCCACAGGCAGAAGAAACACAGAAAAGAAACCTACCACGGTAATACCCGGAGAGCCAAGGGAAAATTCACACCATTTTAAATGTAACAATAGGGGCCAGGCACTGGCTCACACAATCCTAGCACTCTGGGAGGCCGAGGCAGGTGGACTACTTGAGCTCATGAGTTTGAGACCAGCCTGAAAAAGTGAGACCCCCATCTCTACTAAAAATAGAAAAACTGAGGCAAGAGGATCGCTTGAGCCCAAAAGTTGAAGGTTGTTATGAGCTATGACACCACGGCACTCTACCTAGGGTGACAGCTTGAGACTCTTTAAAAAAAAAGAAAGAAAGAAAGAAAGAAAAAGTCTAGTCAGACTCATAGGAAGCATTGGAATTTCTTACACAGGAGGGACTGGGATTCAGAAGACCACTGGAGCTAGGGAGAATAGTGGCATGGAGACCAGGCAGAAGCCATCAGGAATCCCACAGACCAATTTCACCTTTCCCTGAGGCAAGATGGTTCCAGGGATTAATGACCTTTAGCTCTGAAAGTCTGTATTCATGGTTTATATCAGGTATGAAGGCAAGGTGACTACATGTGCAGCCAGATTTCTAGACTCACATCCAGCCCTGTGACCAGAGACATGCTCCTTAGCCTTTTCTTCCCCCTCTGAGCCTCAGAGGAAGAGAGGGTCAAGCTTGAGTATAGGCTCAGAATGAGATGGCTAGAACTCCTCCCCCACCACTTATTAATGAAGCAAGTCTTAGACATGTTATTTAATTTCTCTGCCTTAGTCTTCTGTGAAATGGTGGTAATAATATTATACCTGCCTACAGAGTTGTTTGTGAAGACAAAATGGGTATAACTAAATATGTGTAATACACACATAAAATAGTTTGTTACAATCCTGGTACTGTAAGGATTGAGTTAATTAATGTTAGTGCAGAGAATATAGTAGATAGTAAATATTCTGTGATGATGAATGATTCTAACCAGATTGCCAATTTTTCTTCCTTTTTTTTTTTTTTTGAGAAAAGGTATTGCTTTGTTGCCTGAGCTAGAGTACAATGGTGTCCTCAGAGTTCACTGCAACCTCCCTCAAGAGATCCTCCCACCTCAGCCTCCTGAGTAGCTATGCCTATCAGTGTGTGCAACCACACCCAGCTAATTTTTTTTTATTTTTTATAGAGATGAAGTTTCACTGTGTTGCCCAGGCTGGCCTCAAACTCCTGGGCTCAAGTGATCCTCCCATGTTAGCCAAGTGCTGGAATTACAAGTGTGAGCCACCACATCTGTTTCTTCTTTACTGGACACCCAGTACACAACTGCTGGATGAACAGCAATTGAATAACTAGAGGGTGGGAATATGGCTGAGGTGGGGAATTTGGTGGGTTGCAGGCAAATGAGGGAAATGGGTGAAGGCCAGCCACCGGAAGTGAAGGTCCTCTCATATGCAGAATGCAGCACTCTCTCTTCCACAGGATTCAAAAGGGGGACAGGTGTGTACCCATCTTCACCTTTCCTTCCTTCCCACACAAGGGCACCACTTCGTAGGATTGGAAGAGCTCATTGAGTTTATTTGGGGAACATATAAGAGGCTAGAAGTTTCACTGGCATGTATACACACATATACATATCCTGAGCAATGTTGCCTGAAGGTTGACTTTATCTGTTTGGGGTCCTCAGGTTTCAGAGTCAGGTGTGGATTTCAGGGGCCTAAGGAGTCCTAAGTTATGCAGAAGAAACAGTGATAGGGAAGGGGCCAGGAGCCCACCAGGCCTTGGGATCCCTGTTTCCTCTTCCTCCCTGAGAGCCAGCACATACTGCCATCCCCACCTCTTTCTCCCTCTTCTCCTTCCCTAGGGACAGTCCCAGATCACCTGGCCCACTGGGGGTCACCTGGTGCTCCAGGTCCCCATGTGGCCCCCATCTTCCCATGCTGGCTGTGGCCCATCAGGATTATCCATGTTCTCATAAGAATCTGCATCTGGACAGGACCAGGAAGAAATAAGATATAGGTAGGGCTGGAAAGAGGCTGGGAGGCACAGTCAGCCCAATGGCAGAAGCACCCACCTTCTTCGTGATCAGGACCAAGCTGACCCCGGATGGAGTGGAGCTGTGGGGCTGCATAAAGGATCCCTCTCATATCTTCATAGGACTGGGACCCTGCTTGGGCAGGTTTTGGAGAATTGGAGGCTTGGGGAAGGGAAGTGCAACCTTAATAAGGAAAGGGCCTGAGGGACAGAGGAAGGTGGGAGGCTTCACCTATGCTGTACTGAGAAGTGGTGAATAGATCAGCATCAAGCTGGGGAAGGCCTGGGTAGTTGTAGGGTCTAGATTAGGTGCAGATTAGATTATGGTCAGAGAAAGGGCCAAAAACAGAACTGGATGGATTCAAAGCCAGGATCATAAGGAAGTCGTAGAGAGAGCTGGGGTCAAGGCAGGGGCTGTTGTCAGAGCTGAGGCCAGGTGAGCCCAAGCTGGTGAGGGCAGGCTGTTCCCAAGCATCTCTCACCAAGAGAGGTTGCTTCCCGGCTGTGATCCCACACAGACCCATGGGGGCTCAGGAAGTCTGGAGAAGGAATAGGTAGGTTACTATTTCTCATGGCCCTCAGGCCCCCTTACCCCTAGGAATGTGGCCATCCTCACACACACCCATTGTCCTGGTGACTGGCTGGGCTAGCTCTTCATCCTCATTCTCATAAGACTCAGCTGTTGCAGAAGAAAGAGAATTCCAGGGACCACTCCTGCCTGCTAGGGGCTCCACAGTGCTGCGGCTTATCCTAAGTCTCTCAGGCCCCACAGGGACTCCAAGTTACCGTTGGAGAAGGAGTCTTCATCCTCAGGACTCAAGGGCCCATCCTCAGGGTTCTCATAGCCGCTGCCATCTAGTGGAGAAAGGAGCAGAGTCCAGCGAGGGTCCAGAGTACTCTCCGAGTACTGGAGGTAGGGGAGGCATGAGGGAGGGCAGCCTTACCCTGGGAGAGCTGGTCCTGCCCAGGATTGGAGTCATTCTCGTACAACTCGGAGCCCTCCTTGCTGTCTGGTTCCTCAAAACCCTCCCCTTCCTCTGGTCCTGGGCCTGGAGATTTGGGGATGGGAACGAGGAACTGTCACGCCCTTTCCTTAAGGCCCCAGTCCACTATTCCAGCCACAGACCGCTCAAACACCTTCCGTGTGAGGAATGACCGCCCCCTCATTCACCGGCTCTGGGCGGGCTCCGGGACCCCGCGGCTCTAGCCTCCTGGACATCGCTGCGTGGGTTTCCGTGGGACCGGGATGCGCCCCCCAGGCCTGCTGCCCAACGCTGGGCGCGTCCTGTAAAGCGGGGTTGGAAGAGATGGGGGCTGAGCAGGAGAGGATGCTTTGGGCTCTGCGAAAGGCCTTTGGGTCTAGGCATTGAGACCTTGAACCATAGGGGCTGGGATTCTAAATGTAGAGGTTTGGGCCAGGAGCTTTGTCTCACACCTGTAATCCTAACACTCCAAGAGGCCCAGGAGGGTGGATTGCCTGAGCTCAGGAGTTGGATACCAGCCTGAGCAAGAGTGAAACTCATCTCTACTAAAAATAGAAAAACTAGCCAGGCGTTTTGGCAGGCTCCTCTATCCCAGCTACTCAGGAGGCTGAGGCAAGAGGATCTCAAGAGTTTGAGGTTACTGTGAGCTATGATGCCAAAGCACTCTACCAGAGCAACAGAGTGACACTCTATCTCAATTAATTAATTAATTAATTAACCCTGAGGGTGTGGCCTCAAGTTTCAGGGCAAAATTCTGCACTAGAACAGAAGGACTTAGGGTTCTGGTGCTGGGGTGGGTTGTAGGGGTGGGGCCCACTTCTAGGCAGGACACCGCACCCTGAGGGCAGAGCTCCCGGAGACTTGACACTCAGGGGATTGGAGAAATGGGGACAATGGAGGTGGAGCTCTAGCTCTGGGGCAGAGCTATGGTCTGCAGGCCAGGGTCGCAGGCCTGGCAGTGCCTCTCACCCATGCCGGTGGTGGGCGTGGGAAGGAACAGTACGTTCCCGTACTGGTTCTGGGGCCCGCTTCCTGGGGGAGGTGTCACTTTGAAGAACCTGGAAAGAGAAGGGGAGATGCACTGTGAGGCTAGGCCTGGGAGGGACTGGGGGATACATTCAAGATTCAGGCCAGTCCTTCAGGGCTTAAATGTTGTCACTTGTGATTAGCTCTTTTGGCTGGACAGCCTACAGAGAGGTCTAGGATCACTCCAACGAGGTATCTTCACAGGGAAGGTAGCTTTGGAGCTAGGCCTTGAGGTTGAGCAGTATTTCAACTGCTAGAGAAGAGTAAAGACACCCTAGGCAGCGCAAAGCATAAAGTGAGAGGGGTACAGTGCAGTGGCTGCATTACCTCCTGGTGGGGTCAGTCATTCGCTTTCTTTTCCTCCTCAGGATCAGGGCTGGTGGGAGTTAAAGTAGTGATCAGAGGGGCTGCTTGGCCAGTTGAGGATTTGGGGGTGCTGGGGAAATCACTTGCATTAATAGAGAAGATGAGTTCAAATTGCAAGGGGCTTGGGAAATTTGAGGGGGGTTCAAGGAGGAACAGGCGGATAGCATTCTGGGGTCTGTAGGGGAAGGATGGGAGGAGAGAAAAATGGTTGTCAGACTGACCAGTGTCAGTTTATCTTGGGTTTATCTTGGGGAAGATGGTGGGTAGGGTTTCAGCTAACCAGCTGAGAGTATGACTCACTTCTTTGAAGTTGAAGAAAGCCCACAAGGGAAACCAGGCAGAAGATGAGATAAATCAAAGTCACAGCTGGGACCTTCCAGCCACCAGTTCTCAGCAGCCAGTGCCATAGTACTAGGGGGAAAGGGCTATGAGATGAGGACCCCAGGCTGGGATCTTATTTTCCAACCTCAAGACCTCAAAGGACTGCAAGTCTTGGGGACAGGGATAAGGCACAGCTTCAAAGTCCCAGGCTTTTAAAGAGGGCTCTCCTCCCTCCCTCTAAGGAGCTGTCTCCCAGGAAGACAGAGACCGTGCTACAAAGCCTGGCACAGGGTATGGGGCAGTGTCTATTGAGCAAACCAGGGACAAACTGTGCCTATAGTCAGAGGCAATGTTAGGATGTAGGGGAGCATAATGATCAGCTTTTGGCTGCAGTTAAGGACAGTCATGGTCAAAGTGAGGGGCATAATTGAGCTCACAAAGTTAGAGTTCTGATCCAGCATGTTGCTGAGGTCAAGTTCAGAGTGAAAGTTGAGACTGAGTTTGAGAACTATGCTTAGGATAGCATGGAAGGGTTGTATGGAGACAGAATGGGTAGAACATTGTGACCAATCTGATGGGTGGGGTGAAAAAAAGAAACAATGACCAGGATCCCAGGTTCCCAGGATCCCAGATTGGCCAGAGGACTACATTGAGGGAAAATGTTGAGACTGAGGTGTCCATGGGATATCAAATGATAATTTTGGAAGATGGCTGGGTATGGGGTATGTGGAGCCTGGAATAGAGTCACTGTGGCATGGCAACCCAAGAAGCCACAGGGAGTGAAGGAGATCAAATGGGAAAAACATGCAGACAGAGGGCCAAGGGCTCCAACGGTGCACAGTGGGGGAGGAAGAAAGACTCCACCAAAGCTGGTGGGAAGGATCAACCAGTGTAGGAGAAGATCCAGAAAAGTAATGTCTGGGCAGCAAGGAAGGAAAGAATTGGAGTGAGTGGTCTATGTAGAAGTTGGGGTTTAAGATGGGGCTGGTACAAGCCCTCAGGTTGGGGGTCCAAGATTGACTGTTTTCCTCTTCCCAATAGCCTCGCACAGATGCCTCACAATTGAGAGAAACTCTACCTGGCCGGGCAGTGACCTCCAGGTGCATTGAGATGGTCCGGTTACCACAGCGACAATAATAGGTGCCAGCATCTTGAGCTGTGGCCTGGGGCAACAATAGACCAGTCCCCAGGACCCACATCTCTCTGGCTGGATGACCCTCAGTCAGGTTTAGGCTCATCAGTGGGAAGTTAGTCTTCTTGGGGTGCACATGTGTCCAGGAGATGTGGCCTCTGGCCACAGTGTCAGGGGGTACCCCACAAGACAGCCAGAGTGTAGAGCCAGAGGCCATGGTGAGGTCTGGGACAGGGAGAGACAAGACTAAGAAAGCCTAATTCTTGGGGCCTCATCTACCCCATATTCTCAAGTTTCCACTCACCATTCCCCATCCATGACCCCTACTTTCTGGCATGTCCCCTGCATCTTACCTTGGCTGAGGCTCTGGCTCAGATTTTGCCTAGGTGGAACACACATGTGCCTTCCCTTCCAGACCTCAGGGTGATCATTGGCCCATACATACACCTGGGAGCTGGTGGGGTGACCAGAAGAGGGCCTGGGGTCCTCTGAGGACCTGTTTCCCAGGCTACAGCCTAGGTCTGAAGCATTCCACCGAAACAGCTCCCCTGGGAAAAGACCCAGAACCAAATGCAGAGACATCCAGGAGAGGGCAAGAGACAGAAACCCAGAAAGGCAGAGGCAGAAGAGCATCTACGTGGACCCAGAGAGAAGAGATAGGCCGAGAGACATGGAGCAGCTCAGTGTTGAAGTCAGGAAGCTGCAGGAGTGTAACCTGCTATAATTAGCTTCTGTGGGTCCTGCAGCCCCTCTAGCCCATCCAGCAGCTTCATAGCTACTCGGCCTCCTCTATCCCAGGTGGGCCATCCACCCCCACTCCAGTGCCCTCGCCCTCGCCCAGCCCAGCCCTCACCACTGTCCTCCACACTGACTGTCCAGCCAGGATGCCCAGCCTTCTCAGAGGGGGGCCACGTCTGGCACAGGTAGAAGCCCCCCATCTGATCAGAGATGTTGAAGATGAATGTCAGGATGCCCAGGGTCCCCATGTAGATGCCCAGGTCTGGTAACCCCAGGCTGAGGTCTAAGAAGGGTGCTGACTGGGACCCCCGATACCAGGTCAGCTGCTCTGGGGGACAATCTGAGGGACCCTTAAGGCACTGCAGCACAGCATCACTTCCCTCTGTAGAGAAAGAGAGAGAGAGATGGGGGAGCCCTTGCTACCTTTCCTCACACTGGGTCATAAAACAAGGGACCCTGCAAGCTGGACATGGATGAGCCCTTAGAATCCTTCCAAACCCCTGAATTTTACAAATATGAAAATGGAGGCTCAGAGAGAGTAAGTTACCCGGCCAGGGGGACCCAGTCCCAGCCCAGGTTTCCAGCTCTAACTCCTTCCCTTGCTGCCCTTCGCACTTACCTTCTACCTTCACCAACCGCTGTTCCTGGGGCCTCACTCTCATAGGGGTAAGGAAGAGGAGAAACGAGAAGAGGAGAGGAGTTAGCATGGTGGCCAGACTCCCTGGGGCACCCAGCTTCGCGCAGGGGATGCTGGGGCAGGCTGGAGCAGGCGGGGGCCTGGAGGGCACTGAACCATGGGTGTCTGCGGGGGAGGTAGTAGTACCCCGAGAGGAAGGGGGTGGTCACACCTCAGGTCCACTTTTCCAGTCACCCCTCCAGGCCCACAAAACTTGCCTCCTCCCTGCTACACTGTTTTATTTTCACCCACTTCACCATGTAAAATGATCTTATTTGTGTGTCTATTCGTTCACTTGTTTCCTGCTCTAGAATGTAAGCCTTTTGGAGTGGAGACTTTATCTTGTTCAGCACTAAATGCACAGGGCTCAGCACATAGTAGGTACCTGAAAAATATTTGTTGAATCAGTGGATTCAGGCTTAGAGGCCCCTCCTTCTGCCCCCCTTCCTCCTCCCACCCCAGGTTCTCTTCACATGTATATCCATCCCCCCAGTTCATTCACTCAGCAAACATTTCCTGGGCCTCTTTGCAACCACCCGTTAACACATTTTAGAATCTGGCAGACCTGAGTTTGAATTCTCCACCTCAACCATTTGGTTAAATTTCTTCAGTGTTTTTCTTTCTTTCTTTCTTTCTTTTGAGACCGAGCCTCAAGGTGTTGCCCTGGGTAGAGTGCTGTGGCATCACAGCTCACAGCAACCCCCAACTCCTGGGCTCAAGCGATTCTCTTGCCTCCACCTCCAGAGTGGCTGAGACTATAGGTGCCTACCACAATGCCCGGCTAGTTTTTGGTTACAGCTGCCATCGTTGTTTGGCAGGCTCAGGCTGAATTTGAACCTGCCAGCTCAGGTGAATGTGACTGGTGCCTTAGCCGCTTGAGCCACAGGCACCGAGCCCAGTGTTTTTCTTTATTAACTGTGAGTACTATCAGAACTATAAACATATTGTTTGTAAAGATTAAATAGGACAATATACGTAAGACATTTATCAGCCCAGCACATAGTAGGCCCTCAGTTAATGAAAGATAGTATTACATAATGGTTAGGCGCTCAAGTCAGACTGCCTGGGTTCAAAACTAAGCAAAAGCTTGGTGTGGGGGTGTACACCTGTAATCCCAGCTACAGCTACTCAGGAGGCTAAGGCCCAGGTGGTCAAAGCTGCAGTGAGCTATGATTATGCCTGTGAGTAGCCACTGTACTCTAGTTTGAGCAATATCTCTAAAAAAATAAACAAAACAAGGCAAGTTTCCTTATCTGTAAATTGGAGTTGATGAAAAAATCTACTGCATAGATTGTTTTGAGGGTAAATCAGTCAATGTAATATATAAAGTTGAGGGGTGCTTAGCAGCTGTTTGGAGAAAGCAGCAGCTACTATTGCTCCTTTGCAGTGGTCCTTAGAAATTACATGATTGGGGTGGTGTCTGTGGTTCAAAGGAGTAGGGTGCTGGCCCCATATACCAGAGGTGGCAGGTTCAAACCCAGCCCTGGCCAAAAACTGCAGAAAAAAAAAAAAAGAAAAGAAAAGAAAAGAAATTACATGAATTGGGCAGTGCCTGTGGCTCAGTGGGTAGGATATCAAATCCGTATACCGAGGGTGGCAGGTTCGAACCCGGCCTGGCCAAACAGCAAACAAAAAAAAAAAAAAAGAAAGAAATTACATGATTAATGTCTCTTTCTCATTCAGTTCTTCCCCAAGAAGCCCCTGCTTCAGTTAGGAAAGGAAACCATTTAGAAATGGGGCAACTGGCTCGGCACCTGTAGCTCAGTGGCTAGGGCACCAGCCACATACACCAGAGCTGGCGGGTTCAAACCCAGCCAGGGCCTGCCAAACAATGACAACTACAACCAAAAAGTAGGCATTATGGCGGGGGCCTGTGGGCCCAGCTACTTGGGAGGCTGAGGCAAGAGAATTGCTTAAGCCCAAGAGTGTGACGTTGCTGTGAGCTGTTGACACTACAGCACTCTACATAGTGAGACTCTGTCTCAAAAAAAAAAAAAAAAAGTAGAAATGGGGCAATTAAGACCCCAAGATACTCTGGCTTCTCTTCAGATTACATAAGACCCCCAGAAGGGTCTTGCCTAAGGGTACACATTGAGCTGGCAGTATGGTGAGGACTAGAATACAGCAGTCCCAACTCCTCAATCTGTCCTTATTCTGCCCCATGCCTCCTCATCCTCTCTTCTCCCTTGCTCTGTAGGGGTACAAGTGTTTGTATGTGAGTGTATGTGTGAAAGAGAAAGAGAGTCTGTTACTTTTGTAGGCACTCAGGGAAAGGGTCCAGAGACCCAAGAGACCTACTTTCTCACTGGCAGATTCCCAGGCCTGTCTCATCAGGCTGTGGCTTCCTGTTTGCCCCAGGGCAAGCCCCAGGGGACCCTCCAGGTGGCTGGGCCTCCACTTCCTTTGACCAGCTGAGGGGGCTGGGAGGGGGAAGAGCAGAGCACTGGGAAATGAAGAGCACTCAACTCTCTAGTTGCTTAGTCTAGCTCTCCCTAGAGCATGTGAGTGCCCTGCTTAAAACATGTCAGCAGCTTTTCATCTGCCTAAAATAAAACAATGCCTAGCCATGGCCTATAAGCCTGAGTGCCGCCAACATTTCCTGCAGGGTTACTCCACGACTCTCCTTCCACACCATGCTCTAACTTGCCAAGTGCTTTTCCACCTAAAGACCTTTGCATTTGCTGTTCTTCCTCCTGGATCTTTGTTCTGCCCTTTGCTTGACTGGCTTCTTCCATCATTCAGGTGTTGGTCAAGGTTCTTTCCTTAGAAAGGCCTTCCCTCACTCCCCTCCAACCCGTACATTTTTGATCTCACATTCTTATTATTATCATTATTTTTGGAGACAGAGTCTTACTTTGCTGCCCTACTAAGTGCTATGATGTCACAGCTTATAGCAACCTCAAACTCTTGGGTTCAAGCAATTCCTTTGCCTCAGTTTTTCATTTTTAGTAGAGACAGGGTCTCACTATTGCTCAGGCTGGTCTTGAACTTGTGAGCTGAAGCAATCCACCTACCTTGGCCTCAAAGAGTGCTAGGATTATAGATGTGAGCCATCACACCTGGCCTCACATCCTTATTTCATTTCCTTCCCAGGACTTGCCCCAATCTCAGATTATGCTTGTTAATTTGTGAGTCTTCTCATGTGCCTCCTACACCAGAATGGCCATTCTTCAAGAACAGGGATCTTTTTTTTTTTTTGACAGAGCCTCAAGCTGTCCCCCTGGGTAGAGTGCTATGGCATCACAGCTCACAGCAACCTCCAACTCCTGGGCTCAAGCTAGTCTCCTGCCTTAGCCTCCCAAGTAGCTGAGACCACAGGCGTCTGCCTGGCTATTTTTTTGGTTGCAGCCATCATTGTTGTTTGGCAGGCCCGGGCTGGATTCGAACCCACCACTTTAGGTGTATGTGGCTGGCACCTTAGCCGCTTGAGCCACAGGTGCCGAGCCAAGAACAGGGATCTTTACTGTCCTTAGATGTACACTGGCATCTAATAGGTATTCAGTAAGTATTTGTTGAATAAAAGAAGGTGGCTCAGTGCCTGTGGCTCAAGTGGCTAAGGCGCCAGCCGCATACACCTAAGGTGGTGGGTTCAAATCCAGCCCAGGCCTGCCAAAACAATGACAGCTGCAACCAAAAATAGCCAGCGTTGTGGCAGGCGCCTGTGGTCCCAGCTACTTGGGAGGCTGAGGAAGGAGACTTGCTTGAGCCCAGCAGTTGGAGGTTGCTGTGAGCTGTGATGCCATAGCACTCTACCCAGCGGGATAGCTTGAGGCTCTGTCTCAACAAAAAACTTCCTTTTCTCTTCCCCTACATGTGTTCGGTCACCAAGGCTAGTCCATTTTATATCCTGAGTATTTCTATAATCAGTTTTCTCTTTCTGACTCTGCATCTGCAGCTCAGCGGCCAGGGCGCCAGCCATATACACCTGAGCTCCCGGGTTCGAACCTAGCCAGGGCCTGCCAAACAACAATAACAACTACAACCAAAAAATAACTGGGTGTTGTGGCGGGTGCCTGTAGTCCCAGCTACTTGGGAGGCTGAGGCAAGAGAATCGCTTGAACCCTTGAGCTCTGGCTCAGGTTTGAGGTTGCTGGGAGCTGTTATGCCATAGCACTCTACCGAGGGTGACATAGTGAGACTCTGTCTCAAAAAAAAAAAAGGCAGCGCCTATGGCTCAGTGGGTAGGACACCGGCCTCACGTACTGAGGGTGAAGGGTTCAAACTGGCCCCAGCCAAACTGCGATAAAAAAATAGCCAGACGTTGTGGCGGGTGCCTGTAGTACCAGCTACTCGGGAGGCTGAGGCAAGAGAATCCCCTAAGCCCAAGAGCTGGAGGTTGCTGTGAGCACGGCATGGCACTCTACCAACGGTGACAAAGAGACTCTGTCTCTAAAAAAAGTTCTTTTTTTCTGTTTTTGGACCCTTTCTTCACAACTAGAACCAATTCAATAGCTTCTGTCCTGGGACCCCTCCCCTGTGTCTTTTGCTTCCTACCTGTATTCTGCATGTCAAGAGAACTTCTTTGATAATTAGTCATGTGCTTAACAGCCTTCAACAGCTCCCAGGACCCAGGCCAGATAAAATCCAAGCCTATAGCTGCTATGAAGCCTCTTCCCAAACTGGTTGAAGCCTTATTTCTAGTCATCAAGTCACCCCCTTCCCCAGATACACTGTCACATTCACAGGGAATGTGGACTTAATTCCGAGGGCAAGAAGGTATTGAGGATTTATAAATCAATCAGGAGTTGGCTGGACCAGATTTGTGTTTTCCACAGCTCCCCCTGAGACCAGTGTGAAAAGTGCTCATTCATCCATTCACTCATCAAAGGTTTATTTGCTACTATGTTTAGTTACCAGCACCTTGCTATAGGCTGGGGAAACAGCAGGCAACATGAAAGGATTCCTAATCTCATGGGCCTTTGATGCAAATTTTGGGGCCAAGGAAAGATAAAAAGGGGACAGGTAGCTCGGCGCCCATAGAGAAAGCGGCTAAGATGCCAACCACATACACCTGAGCTGCTGGGTTTGAATCCCAGCCCAGGCCCGCCAAACAACAGTGACGGCAACAACCAAAAAATAGTTGGACCTTGTGGTGGGCGCCTGTAGTCCCAGCTCCTTGTGAGGCGGGGGCAGGAGAATCGCTTGAGCCCAGGAGTTGGAGGTTGCTGTAAGCTGAGTGCCACAGCACTCCACCCAGGGTGACAGCTTGACACTTTGTCTCCAAAAAAAAAAAAAAAGAAGAAGAAGAAAAAAAAAGGGACAGGTGACAAACAAGTTAACCAATAAACAATTTCAGATGGTGAAAAGCATTCTGATGTGATATAATGGTAGACAGATGATGGAGGTAGTCAGAGAGGAGGGGACATTTAAGCTAAGACCTGAAGAAGGGAAAAGTTCGATTAAGTGCCTGTTTAGTCTTGTTAGTCTTGCCATACTCTTTTCCAAAGTGGCTGTACCACTTCATATTCCCATCAATATATGAGGCCCAGGCAGGTGAACTGCTTGAGCTCGGGAGTTTGAGACCAGCCTGAGAAAAATCGAGACCCTGTCTCTACTAAATACAGAAAAACTAGCTGTGTGTTGTGGCAGGTGCCTGTAGTCCTAGCTACTAGAGAGGCTGAGGCAAAGAGGATCGCTTGAACTTAGGAGTTTGAGGTTACTGTGAGCTATGATGCCACAGCACTCTACCCAGGGCAAAGTGAGACTGTCTCAAAACAAGAAAAGCACCCCCCCCCAAAGAAAAACCCTCCCAATATATGAGAAAGCCAGTTTCTCTGCATACTCACCAGCACTTGGTGTTATCACTCTTATTTTAGCATTCTGAGAAGTGTGTAGTGATTAAAGTGCCTGCAGCTTTTTTTTTTTTTTTTTAAGATAGAGTCTCACTTTGTTGTGTTGTTCAGTAGAGTGCCCTGGCAACACAGCAACCTCAAACTCTTGGGTTCAAGCGATTCTCTTGCCTCAGCCTCCCAAGTAGCTGGGTCTACAGATGCCTGCCATAACGCCCAGCTAGTTTTAGAGATGAAGTGTCGCTCTGGCTCAGGTTGGCGTGCAACTCATGAGCTCAGACAGTCCACCTGCCTCAGCCTCCCAGAATGCTAGGATTACAGGCATAAGTCACCCCACGGCTTGTGCCTGTGGCTTTAATGTGTATTTCCCTATTGGCCAATGTTGAACATTTTTTGATGTGGATATTGGCTACTTGTGACATTAGTGAAATGTCTAATCATGTCTTATTTCTATTTCCAAACTGAATAACTAGGTTTTTAGCAGGGATGAGACGTAATTTATATTTTACAAAGATCACTCCAACTGCTTTGGGGAGAATTAACTAAACAAGTGGCCAAGACACCCTGGAGCACTGTGGACCTCCAGGAGAGAGATGAGGGGAGCTGCGACTAGGTGTTAGCGCTGGAGATGGAGAGAAAGGGATACTTTCTGGAATATTCAATACATTGGAGGGAGAATTTACAGGACTTCCAGGTTCTTGGGGTGTCCTTTATAGAGGGAGAAACAGGTTGAGGTTCTGGAGGTAAGTGTGAATTACCAGTCATCCTTCAGGAGTGGAGGTCACAGATAAAGAGCTCTTGACCTAGGCAGATGCCAAGGGGAGAGGAGGGATTTGTGAGGCGCTGGGAGTGGAAGGGGGATTAGCAGGAAGCGGTGACTGGTTGAATATCAAAATGGGGGTGGGGACGTGCAAGTTTTGGCCAACAAGGACTGACTCCGCGGGGACTCAGAGGCGCCCAGAAAAATGAGGCCGACCCAGCCCTGTCCCGAGGGACACTCCAAGAGGGCGGAGGTGCAGGGAGGGCCCGGGCACAACTTGCTGCAGTGTTAGCCAGGCTGCGGCGGAAGCGTGGCCAGGGCGGATCACAGCTTGGATCCCGCCTTGAGGGAGAGAGAGGGCGCTTCGTCCTCCCAGGCCGAGACCGGCCAGCGTCTCGAAGGTATGATTGGAGCAGAGCTTCCAAGGTCACGGAGAAACGTCAGGAAGGGCCTTTGAAGGAAAAATCTTCTTTGGGGTTTGAAGGGCAGAAGTCCTCACTTCACAGCACGACGTAGCTAAGTCGGGAGAGGGGCGGGGCCGGGGCTTACTCGGGCATCTTCGGTCGAGGCTCGGCACTGCTCCACTTCCAGCCGGGGGCTTCGGGCCCGGGGCCGATCCGGAAACAGCCGAGCGGATCCGGAAACAGCCGAGAGGACCCGGAAGCGGTGAGCGCCGTCTCCAGGGAGTGCGGGACCGCCGTTTGCGCTGAAGCTATGGCGGCAGCTGCGCCGGCTGCTGCGGGCGAGGACAGACGGAGGCAGCAGCCGGGGGCCGGTACGAGCGGGTAGTCCATGCACGCGGGGGGCGGCGAGGCCGGGGGCGGGGCCGAGCTCAGCGGCTGGTGGAAGGGAGGTGGAGAGGGGCGAGTGGAGAAAGGGGCGGGGCCACGCCTCCGGGAAAAGGGAAGGCGGAGCCTAAGTCCCTGCCGGAGGGGGCGTGGCCTGACACTTCAGGGGTGGGGCCAGTGGCAGGTGAGGGGTGGGGCCCGCTGATGAAGGGGCGGGGTCACTGAAAGGTGGGGAACGCGTGGCAATGTTAGACTGAGCAAGGTGGGAAGGAGGCGGGAAAGGGTCGGGCCCAGGTGAGCGGGGCGGAGCCAGGTGAAGGCGGTGTAAATGTGGCCGCAGAACTAGGTTACAGAACATGCTGATTTTGATGGGTGGCTTGAGGTGATGCGGATCCGAGAAGTGATGGGAATCCGAGAAGTGATGGGAAGAGGCTGATGTCTATTCCCTACAGCGCTGGACCCCCAGCCCCAGGAAGGGGCAAAGGCTGAGGCCGAGTCAGGCGAGCTGGGCCGACTTCGGGCTGAGCTAGCAGGTGCCCTCGCAGAAATGGAGACCATGAAGGCTGTGGCGGAGGTGAGCGAGAGCACGAAGGCCGAGGCTGTGGCTGCAGTTCAGCGGCAGTGCCAAGAGGAGGTGGCTTCGCTGCAGGCTATCTTGAAAGGTGAGACCAGGGTTCCTACCCCCTATCAGCCCCATAGAGGGGAGTACTTGACAAAGGGGGTAGGTAGGTTGCAAGACTTCATAGCAGGGGGCATGCCTGTGAGCAGGAGGAAGGGGCACCCTTTTCTAATTTGCCTAGAAGTACTACACATGATAGCAGCAACTCAAACTTAGCAGTTTCAGCTAAGTTTAGCCCCAAGCTTCTATCAGTTCCCTTGCCTAGAGTCATCTCTTCTGCCTCACTGATGACTGATCAACCCTGAAAATGAAAAGAAACTTCTCAGTTCCCTGAACCAGCCTCATTTTAGTCTGGGCCCAGGCTCTGTGAGTCTAATCCTCTGATTTCCTTCCTTCCCCAGATACCCCTGCATCGGCCTCCCCATCCCCATGTACCAGCTTCCCTCCCTCCACCTCAAATTCCACATATTCAGGAAGTACCAGCTCCCCTAGTCTCAGATATCTTAGCTTCTTTTCTTGTTTTCTCATCTCTCTCCCCTAGCCAAGACCACAGTCTCCGAAACAGATGTTAGAGCTGGCCACACCCCTCTGCCTCACTGCCCCTGCTGTAGTAGAGCTCTGGTCAGCTCTCTTCTAGGTGGTTGTCCACATATCTCCCTCTGTAGTCTGGCCTTGACATTGATTTCAAGAGTAAACTTCCAAAAATTTTCATCTCATCATGCTGTTTCCCTTTCTAACAACCACTCCTGACTCCAGACTACCCTGAGGCTGTATTTCGCGCATTTCAGGCATCCACATACCTATACAACATAGTCGTATACAATTTTCCCTGCTAGTTATTTAATATTTGTTCTTTAAATAGATCTACTTTTTAAGAGATCTAGCACTCCGGGAGGCCAAGGTGGGAGGATCACTTGAGCTTAAGAGTTTGAGACCAGCCTAAGCAACACAGATGTCATCGCTACAAAAAAAAAAATAGAAAAATTAGCTAAGCATGGTGACAGGTTCCTGTAGTCCTAGCTACTTGAAGACTGAGGCAGGAGAATTGTTTGAGCCCAGGAGTTTGAGGTTGCAGTGAGTTATAATGATGCCACTGCACTTTACCTGGGTTGACAGAACAAGACACTGTATCAAAAAAAAAAAAAACCCACATACATTTATTAAAGGAAAATTTCTTTACTGTATATAAAACACTAGACGTGTCCTAAATAATGACAATTAGTGAGACTCTGTCTTTAAAAAAATTGCTGTTATTAAATATTGATTATTATGACATATATTAATAGGAATAGATATCTTGTCTGCAGCATTTATTATGTACCAGGGACAGGGCTTACACATGTTATTTAATCCCACAGCAGCTGAGCACGGTTGTCAGTAGTATTCCCCTTTTGCACCTGAGGACTTTGATGCACAGAGAAGCTACGTGATTGCCCGTGTGTGTCTCTGCAAAGCCCACTGTGGTACCCACTGTGGCAGATTGCCTCGCAGGGAGAGTCAGCGCACTGAGAGCCCCCTGTTCACCTACAGGCAGGCTGGTGCACCGACCCTCCCTCTCCCCCCACCCTTCCTGCCCACCAGACTCCATCAGCAGCTATGAAGCCCAGATTGCTTCCCTGAAGCAGGAGCGGCAGCAGCAGCAGCAGGACTGTGAGGAGAAGGACCGGGAGCTGGTCCGCCTGAAGCAGCTGCTGTCCCGTGCTCATCCTCTGGACTCCTTGGAGAAGCAGATGGAAAAGGTTGGGGTTAGGGTGGCTAGCCTCACCCCCTTGGGGCGTCCTATTCCCCAGTCATCAGGCTCAGGGTTCTCAGTGATTCTAGGAAAAGAACAGAGCTATTGCATGTTGTGGAGGGCTTGGCTCTGTGCTTGGTAGGATCCTGACTTGCTCCTTACCAGTAAATGACCAAGTTCACTTGCCTCCAAAATTAAGGTAAATCGTGTAGAAGGAAGGGAACCGACAGGCGAGGTAATTCTAGTCACTCTTGCCACACTGGTGCTCTACTCAGTGCCCAACAGACTATCTGTCTCCCTTTCCCCTGTGAGGGAGACCCTTGGACATGTCAGATGAGGCTTAGAGAAGTTCAGTAATTAATTCTCCCTAAGTTAGGTATATAAAAAGGAGCAAAGTTGGAATTTTATTTTTTTTATTTATATTTATTTATTTATTGTCTTATTTTATTTTTGTTTTGCAGTTTTTGGCCGAGGCTGGGTTTGAACCCACCAGCTCTGGCATATGGGGCTGTACTCCTTTGAGCCACAGGTGCCACCCATTTTTTATTTTTATTGTTATTATTATTTTTTTGAGATAGAGTCTCACTTCATCGCCCTGGGTAGAGTACCATGGCATCACAGCTCACAGCAACCTCAAACTCCTGGGCCCAAGCAATTCTCTTGCCTCAGCCTCCTGAGAAGCTAGGACTACAGGTGCATGTCACAACGCCTGGCTATTTTTTTGTTGCAGTTTGGCCGGGGCCAGGTTTGAACCTTCAGTGTATGGGGTTGGCACCCTACTCACTGAGCCACAGGCACAGTTGGAATTTTTAAATCTAGGCAGGCTGGTCCTAAAGCTTTTATCCTTAATCTCTGTGATATATCACCTTTATTATTGATGTTGTTGTTAACGATAATAGGAAGCTATTTATACTCTCACCTCATTTGATCTTCATGGCAGCCCTGTGAGATAGGTAAATTTAAAAATTAATATCTTAGGCTCGGCGTCTGTGGCTCAAGTGGCTAAGGCACCAGCCACATATACCTAAGGTGGCGGGTTTGAATCCAGCCTGGGCCCGCCAAACAACAATGATGGCTGCAACCAAAAAATAGCTGGGCATTGTGGCAGGTGCCTGTGGTCCCAGCTCCTGGGAGGCTGGGGGCAGGGGGATCTCTTGAGCCCAGAGTTGAAGGTTGCTGTGAGTTGTGATGCCACAGCACTCTACCCAGGGGGATAGCTTGAGGCTTTGTCTCAAAAAAAAAAAATTAATATCTTAGGCTGGGCGAGGTGGCTCACACCTGTAGTCCTAGCATTCTGAGAGGCCACGATGGGTGGATTGCTTGAGGTAAGGAGTTGGAGACCAGCCTGAGCAAGAGTGAAATTCTGTCTCTACTAAAAATGGAAAAATTGGCTTGGCGCTTGTAGCTGAGTGGTTAAGGCTCAGGCCACATGCTCCGGGGTTTGCAGGTTGGAACTCAGCCGGGACCTGCTAAACAACAGTGACAACTACAACCAAAAAATAGCCAGGTGTTGTGGTGGGCACCTGTAGTCCCTGCTACTTGGGAGGCTAAGGCAAGAGAATCGCTTGAGCCCAGGAATTTGAAGTTGCTATGAGCTGTGATACCATGGCACTCTACAAAGAGCAACAGAGTGAGACTGCCTCAAAAAAAAAAAATTAGCTGGCTGTTGTGGTGGGTGCCTATAGTCTTAGCTACTCAGGAGGCTGAGACAGGAGGATTGCTTGAATCCAGGAGTTTGAGGTTGCTGTGAGCTAGGCTGACACTACAGCACTCTACCCTGGGCAATGGAATGAGATTCTGTCCCCCCAAAACAAAATATCTTGTAGGTGGCAGTCTGAGTGTCGAGGCTTGGTTACCAGCTCCTCATTTCATGGATAGGGAAACTGAGGCTCAGGGAGGTAGAATAAATTACTTGGATAGAAGGCAGCGCCTGTTGCTCAGTGGGCAGGGCACTGACGACGTACACCGAGGCTGGCAGGTTTTTTAGCCCCTGCCAGCTAAACAACAATGACAACTGCAACCAAAAAATAGCTGGGTGTTGTGGCAGGTGCCTGTAGTCCCAGCTACTTGGGAGGCTGAGACAAGAGAATTGCTTAAGCCCAAGAGTTAGAGGTTGCTGTGAGCTGTGA